AGAGAGAGAGAGAGAGAGAGAGAGAGAGAGAGAGAGAGAGAGAGAGAGAGAGAGAGAGAGAGCACACAAACACGCACACAGACTTCAACCAATAAATCAATGAATCAATCAATCAACCAATCAATCAATCTGTCAATCAACCAATCAACCAACCAATCAATCACTCTATTGATAGATTGATTGATTGATTGTATGACTGATTGATTGATGGATTAATTTTTTTTATTTTTGAGAGAGAGAGAGAGTTTTCTTCAGTAGAGAGAGAGAGAGTTTTCTTCAGTAGAGAGAGAGAGAGAGAGAGAGAGAGAGAGAGAGAGAGAGAGAGAGAGAGAGCACAGACACGCACACAGAGTTCAACCAATCATACAACCAATCAATCAATGAATCAATCAATCAATCAATCAACCAATCAACCAATCAATCAATCACTCTATTGATAGATTGATTGATTGTATGACTGATTGATTGATAGATTAATTTTCTTTGTTTTTGAATAGAGAGAGAGAGAGAGAGAGAGAGAGAGAGAGCACACACACACGCACACAGATCAATCAATCAATCAATCAATCAATCAATCAATCAATCAATCAATCAATCAATCAAACAATCAAGCAATCAACCAATCAATCAATCAGTCCATTGATTGATTGATTGATTGAATGATTTTTGGTTTTGTTTTTCTTTAGACCGAGAGAGAGAGAGAGAGAGAGAGAGAGAGAGAGAGAGAGAGAGAGCACACACACACACGCACACAGACCAATCAATCAATCAATCAATCAATCAATCAATCAATCAATCAATCAATCAATCAATCAATCAATCAATCAATCAATCAATCATTCAATCAATCAATGAATCAAGCAGTCAACCAATCAATCAATCAGTCTATTGATTGATTGATTGATTGATTGATTGATTGATTGATTGATAGATTGATTGATTGATTGATAGATTGATTGATTGATTGTTCGATTGGTTTTTTTTTTTTTTTTTTTTTTCTATTTTTGGAGTGTGTGTCCGGTCATATTCGCCAACACATAACCACACAATGGACGCATGATACCGCCAGACTCCCCATAAACTTTTCACTCCCACACCGCGGCGTGATCTGAGTCGCCAGGCACAGAAGCTGCTTGGTCTTTTGTTTGTTTCTTTCGTCCCTTTTTTATGAGGCGGAGGAGGAGGAGGAGAAGGAGGAGAGCAACAGAAGAAGAAAGAATAAAGAAGAAGAAGAAGAAGAAGAAGAAGAAGAAGAAGAAGAAGAAGAAGAAGAAGAAGAAGAAATATAACAGAAGAATAGGAAAAAAATAATAATAATAAAGGTCGCGCGTGGTGACGTGGGACCCGCGCGACGACAACCAACATAACGCGGAAGACGACGAGGAGGAGAGAGAGAAGAAGAAGGGGCTTCTATTTCAAGATGACGAGGACAAGAAGAAGAAGAGGAGGAGGAGAAGAAAAGGAGGAGGAGGAGGACAAGAAGAAGAAATAGAAGATGAGGACCGAGTAACCTATGGCGAGAAGAAGAAGAAGAAGAGCAGGAGGAGGAGGAGAAGAAAAAGAGGAGGAGGAGGAGGAGAAGAAGAAGAAGTTGATGATGACGAAAGGAGGAGGAGATGAAGAAGAGGACGAAGAGGACGAGGAGGAGAAGAAGAAGAAGAAGAAAAAAAAAAAGAAAAAAAAGAGGAGGAGGGGAAAAAGTTGATGAGGAGGATGAGATGGCGAGGAGGAGGTCGAGGCCGATGGAAAGGTGAAGAAGAAGAAGAAGAAGTAGAAGAAGAAGAAGAAGAAGAAAAAGAAGAACAACAAGAAGAAGAACAACAAGAAGACGAAGAAGAGAAGAAGAAGAAGAAGAAGGATAAAAAAAAAAAAAAAAGGCGCGTGCTGACGTGGCAGCCCG